AAGGACCTAAGACTTGGGGCATCATTTCTCATACCTTGGAATCACAACTTCATCACATTAATAGCTGCTAAAAATAAAATAAATAAATAAAACAAAATAAATAAATATGAGCAAGCAAAGGAGAAAGAACCTGATCATAGATAATAACTGGATAGAGAAGATCCATGTTCATATTCAGAAGAAGATAATGGAACTAAAAAGCCACTCTCCTTTTTCAATGCCAAATGTCAAATGGTCCCAAGCTCCAAGAGAGTTCTTGGAAGAACTCAAAAAGGACTTTAAAAATTAAATAAGAGAGATTGATGAAAAATTAGAGAAAAAAAAATAAAAGCAATCCAAGAAAATCAAGAAAATTATGAAAATAAAACTCAACCAAGTTGAAATAGAAGATCAAAAACTTAAGGAAGAAAATAACACCTTGAAAACTAGAATTGGACAAGGGGAAACTAATGATGTTCTAAGACACCAAGAAGTCATAAAGTAAAATCAAAAGAATAAAAAAATAGAAGATAAAGTAAAACATATCATCAGAAAAAAAAACCTGATCTGGAGAACAGATAGAGGAGAAATAATATAAGAATAGTCAGACTACCAGAAAAATATAAAATTGCCCTGAAGTTCTAGAACAAGAAGGCACATAGGAAAAAATCCACCAATTACCACCTTAAAGAGACCCCAGGAGGAAAATTTAGGGGAGTATCATAGCCAAATTTCAAAGCTCCCAGGTTAAGGAGTAAATATTGGAAGTAACAAGAAAAAATAATTTAAATATCATGGATCTATAATAAGGATTATACAAAACCTAGCAGCTACTATGCTGAAGGACCATAGGTCTTGGAATACTAAATTCTATACAGCAAAAGAGCTGGGGTTATGATGAAGGTAACTTAACCAGCAAAATTAAGCATAATCCTGACTGGAAAAAAAATGGATATTTAACAAACTGAAAGACTTTCAGGATTTTGTGACAAAAAACCCCAGAACTTAAAGGGAAATTCAACATAATATCCAGGAGAAATATAAAGTAAACATCAAAGACCAATTATAAGGGATTCAATAAGGTTAAACTGCTTCTTATATGTGAAAATATTACCAGCTCTTGTATGACTGTCATTTATATTTGTGTAGTTTGAAAGAAAGGCTTGGGCTGAGTTGAATATGATGGGGGTGATTCTTAAAAAAAAAACTGTGAAGGGAGAGATAAAAAGGAGTAATTATTTCATAGAAATGAGGCTTAAAGAGAAAAACTGACATGGAAGAAGGTAGTGGGGAGGGGCAGTAGTTCTAGAACCTTACTCTCATCAGCAATGGGATAAAGAGGGAAATGTACGTGTGTGTATGTGTGTGTATAAAAGTCTCCAAAATTCAGAAAGAAAAAAGAAGGGGGATAGGTTAGGGGGAGAGGATAAGGGAGGGACTTTTTTGGGGGGGTAGTCAAGGAATAGGAGGGCAAGTAGTAGGTAGGAGTAAAGCAGAGGAGTGAGGAGAGATAAGGTAAATAGGGTGAGAAGGATAGTGAAGAAAAATAGGAAGGAAGAAAATACACAAGTAATTATAACTTAGAACGTCAATGGGATGAATTTACCCATAAAATGGAAATGAAGAACAGATAAAAATTTGTGTTCAACAATATGTTGCTTTCAGGAAACATAAAAATGAGAGATACACAGAAAGATAAAATAAAGGGCAGGAACAGAATTTATTATGTAAAAAAAAGCAGGGATAGTAATAATGATCTCAACAAAGTTAAAGTTGAAGCAGATTTAATCAAAAGTGAAAAACAGAGAAATTACACTGTCAGCAATTTTAACACAGCTTTAGATCATTTAAAATACTTGAGCATATACCTGCCAAAACAGACACAGAAACTATATGAACTTAAATATAATATACTTTTTTATATAAATAAGCTCAGTCTTAATAATTTAAGCATTTATTGTTCATGGAAGCAATATAATTTTAAAATTACAATTTTACCTAACTAATCTATTTATTCAACATCATCCTAATTAAATTGCTAAAAATCATTTTACCATGTTAGAAAAAAACAATACTAAAGTTCATTTGGAAGAGCAAAAGATCAGGAAGGACAGAGCCAAGATGGCAGAGTGAAAGTAGTAACTTGCTTGAACTCTCCCCCAAATCCCACCAAATACTGTAAAAAATGGCTCTAAACAAATTCTAGAGCAGCAGAACTCACAAAAAGACAGAGTGAAACAAATTTCCAGCCCAAGACAGCCTAGATGGTTGATTGGAAAAGTCTATTGCACCAGGCTGGGAGAGGAACACAATTCAGCATGGGTTCACAGGCAAAGACCAGGCCTCAGTGAACCTGGAGCATGCCTCAGAGGACTGAATCATGGGCAGCTGTGGCAGTTTCCAGACTTCTTAACCCACAAATGCCAAAGACAACTTAGAAGGTCAGTAGGAAAAGTCTGCCTGACTATGGTGAGAAAGAAGCTGGGTCCAGCTCCAGTCCTGGTGCTACCTTGAGCAGCAGCTGCTTCTGAAGCTCTCAGCCCATAGAAGAAGGGGGAATCAAGTGATCAGAGGGGAATTGCAGGGATCTCTTTGCTGGTGCTGAGGCAGAATTATTTTGCTTTGCCCTTGCTTAGATCTGGGTCTCAGTTCTGGGTGGTGGCCCTGGGGCAAGGAAGAGTGCTGGCATGGTGGAGCTTGTAGTGGCAGTGAAGAGAGAATCCTTCTCACAATTCCAATGCAGAAAAGAGTGCTTGTGGTCACTCATAGACCACAGCCCAGGCCAGGAAAGGAATAAACACCTCGCCCCTCATCATACCAACTTTGAAGAACTGAAAATTTACAGGTCCCTAGAAGCATCTCTGAAAACAGCTGCACAAAACCCCTGAAGCTTGGAACAGTACATTATCCACACTGGAAGCAGACCCCTACCCTAACAAAGCATTTAAAACTCAAGTAATTGGCTGGGAACACGGAGCAAACTGTGCAAAAAAAAAAAAAGTCAGATCATAGAATCTTTCTTTGGTGACAAAAAAAGATCAAAACATATGACCAGAAGACAACAAAGTCAAAGCTCCTACATCCAAAGCCTCCAAGAAAACTATGCATCAGTCCCAGGCCATGGAAGAGCTCAAAAAGGATTTTAAGAAGCAAGTAAGAGAAGTAGAGGAAAAACTGGGAACAGAAATGAGAGTGATGCAAGAACTGCAAAAGATCAGGAACTTCAAAGAAACTAGAAAAAAGATGTAAAGGAAATAGATTCAGCAGTATCAAACCTTAAATTTTGTCATAAGGGAGAGCATTGTTGAAGTGTAAAAGGGACAATTTTGATTATTTTAAAATAAAATTTTCTGTTATAAATAAAACCTATGTAGCCAGGAATAGAAGGAATGTAGAAAATTGGGGGAAAACATTTATAGACAATCTCTCAGATAGATGTGATTGGCTTGGAATAGGAAATGATGAGCTGGTTGATTTAGAAAAACATGGAAAGACTTGAACCTATGAAGGAAGATGATATCCACCATCAGAGAAACAGATGACAAGTAGAAAGAAGCACAGTGTGATTTTCTGCGAGTGCTCGAGTGTGTGTGTGTGTGTGTGTGTGTGTGTATGCTTAAGAAAACCAACAAGGAAGCAAAGAAAAGCAAAAGCAGCTTTGAAAACAATATGTAGTATTTATTACATAGGTTTTCTCAAAATGGAAATTTATTGTTTTGTATTGAATCCTCTCCTATGGTCTGCTGTGTACATGGTAAAGTTTTTTTCCTTTTCTTATTTTGTATTTAAGTTTAAAGTTGAAAAAAATTATTAAAAAAAAGAAAGAATTCAAAGCCAAGTTTAAAAACAACCTCCTTCTTCTTTCTTCTTCTTCTTCTTCTTGTTCTTCTTCTTCTTCTTCTTCTTCTTCTTCTTCTTCTTCTTCTTCTTCTTCTTCTTCTTCTTCTTGCAATCAGGGTTAAGTGACTTGCCCAGGGTCACACATCTAGTAATTGTCTAAATTTAAACTCAGGTCCTCCTGACTCCAGGACTGGTGCTCTCTCCCAGGCCTTGCCTGGCTGCCCTTTAATTACTTCCTTCTACAAGAAGCCTTTCCTGACTCCTCCTTCTCTCATATCTCCAGTTGCTAGTACCCTCTCTCCCCAAACTACTTGTTATTCATTTTGTATATGCCCTTTATATACTTACATATTTAAGTATTATCTTCCATGTTAGACTATAATCTTGAGGAAAGATTGCTTCACTTTGACTTAGCAGAGTGCTGGGCACATAATTGTTGCTTGAAAAATGCTTGCTGGACTGACTGAGACAGATTAGGGGCCCATTAGTAATGTAGTCTTGGACAGTAGCCTGAGATATGGAGAAGTTAAAAGCCTTGCCCACAATCAGAGGCATACAGTGGGTCAGAGGCCAGACTCAAATCCTTGTCTGTCTGCCTGCCTCCAGGGCTGGCCCTCTATCTATTACACTGCACTCCCTTTCATGACAAAAGGCATTGCTCCATTTTCAAAATGTAAAAAAAAAAAAAGTTCAAAGAGAAAGAAAAGGAAAAAACCAAATCTAGGTTTCACTTACTGAAGTCAAGAAGAACTGAGCTTATATCCACCCTCAGATACTTACTACCTTTGTCACCCTCGGCAAGTCACTTAACTTCTGTCTGCCTCAGTTTCCTCAATTATAAAATGGAAAATAACAGCACCAACCTCCCAAGGTAGTTGTGGGATCAAAAGAGATATTTGTAAAGCCCTTTAAAATGATACCTGGCACATAGTATGCACTATATAAATGCTTAATCCTTCTCTTCTTCCCTTTAATGGTGCCCTATGGAAGAGAAGCTCAATCATCTAGTTTTATTCCTCAGAAGTTCTTTGGGTTGGAAAAAAAACAATAAAATTTTAGCTCTTAATTCCTCCCTGTCTAGCATCCTGCTAACTCATCTGTTCTCCTTAAATCTTCATTTCTGGGAGTATTCAGAAGTTCAAAATTGCCCCAAGGGATAAGAAACAATCATGTTGTCTAACCTGGAGGAAGATGCTTCCTGAGATTTGCTGCTGCCAGCCCGGTCTCTCCTCACTGGTGCAGGCTCCAGCGTTGGCAAGCCTGTGGCTGAGGTGGTGGTTGTCCAAGTGGATGAAACCCGTCTTAGTAATCCTGGTGGCAAACTCCTTCTCAGACGCTAAGAGGAGGATTATAATTGTTACTGAACATTCTTTTACATCAAAAATGTACCTTATCACAGGGACAAGAGGCAGGGTTTTTATTAAAAGTGCACATTGTTGGAGGCACTGGTCAAATACGCACAAGTCTAAAAAAATAAGGGTACTCCAAAGGGTATGAAAAACAACTTTCTGGTAAAAATGCATGAGGAAACATACAACTTACAATACGAGATATAAGTGAAGTTAGGGGCTCAGGAAACAAAGTCCAAACACATATGGATTTACAGAGTAGCCTCCATAATTTCTAAGATGATAATGCAAAGCCAGATGAGTCCATGAATATCACTTAAGCCTGCATATGATCCATACTAGGACACTTAAGCAAATGTTTACCCAAAGGAACACAAAGTTTACATAACTCACAATATCTAGTAAGGAGTCATGGATGGCAGGTGTTCAATAAATATTTGATTCGCTCTGAATTCCTTTATTTGGACATAAAGACCAGTAGGGTGGAGTAGCAATGGCCTTTGAACACTTCCATATACCCCTTTAAAAGTTTTGAATATTCATTTAAAAATCAATAGGATGAGAAAGAATCTAACTGAAACACGTTATAGCAGTGCATCTGTCACTTAATACATTTTTTAAAACGGCTTAACTAAATTCATGCTTAAATTCCAGTGGATCACTGTTTCCTTTAGGAATAAATACTATTGGTTCAACAGTGCAACAGATACAGTGCTGGGCCTGAAGTCTGGAAATCTTGGGCTTAAATCTAGACTCAGATACTTCCTATATGTGTGTACCTGGACAGGTCATTTAACATCTCACTGTCTCAGTATCCTCAACTGTAATATGTGGATAATAATAGCACTTACCTCCCAGGGCTGCTGTGAGGCTCAAATGACAGAATATTTATATAGAACTTAGCACAGGGCCTGGCATACAGCTGGCACTTAATAAATGTGTTCATCCTTCTTTCCTTTCTCTCTCCCTTCCTTCTTACCCTATTTTTCTTCCTTCCTTCTTTCTTCCCTTCCTCCCTCCCTCCCCTTCCTACTTCTCTCCCTCCTTAACATTCCATGCTTTCTCCCTCCTTCCCTCCCTTCCCTTCTCCCTTTCCTCCTTGCCTCCTTCTTTTTCTCCTTTCCTTCCTCCTGCCCTCTTTTCTTTCTCTTTCCCTCCCTTCCTCTTTTCCTTCTTTCCTTCTTCTACTTCTTACTTCTTTCCCTGCTTTCTCATTTCCTACCTCTTTCCCTCCCTATTTTCCTCCTTTTTTTTCCCCTGCCATCCTTCCTTCTACCACCCACAACCTGGCCCCAGCCTCATTGTACAGTATTTCCTATCAAACCATCTATGATCCCAGATAAACTAGTCTTTTCTCTGTCTTTCACACTACATATTCCATCTCCCAACTCTATCCCTTTCTACTGGTAGTCCCTCATACCTGGAATGTACTTCCTCCTCACCTCTGGCTCAGAATTCTTTTCCTTCAACATGCTGCTCAAGACTTTTCTTATCCCTCTGTCTGCTAGTACCTTTTCCCTTAAACTACCCTGTTGTTAACTGTTTTATTTAGTTGTGTTTATTTTTTATTCAGTAGCTATTTGTATATGTACTTCTTGTCTTTCCCATTTGAATGTAAAATTCTTGAGAATAGGATTGTTTCATTCACTGCATTTGTACCTTCTGCACCTAGAACACTGCTGACATATAATAGATGTTAATACTAAGTTCATGTGTTTTAGGGCACCCTCAATGTGACACTTGATCTTTATATCTGTCTATGCCTATCCCCAAAGAGAAGCAGATGATACTAGAAGGGTGCTATAAAGATGTCAGATTGCTAAAGAGTGGTTAGGAATTTAGTTCCAAATCTTAAAAATAATATAACATAGTCTTCTTGGTGTAATGTTAAAAGTAATGGATAACCAACTCATGGAAATTATTTGCTGTCATCCTCTAAAAGAAAACCTCTGATATTTCTGGACTAGTCTTTCTCTGTCCTAACTAGCCATTTCCTAGCTGGAGTCCTTCTTCTTGCCTGCTGACCTCTTCTTTCACACTACTCCTTCTTTGGATTCTCCAGTATCTGGAATCTGCCATGCCAGGCTAGAATTCTATGCTTTCCTAGTTGATTAAGTGGCACAGTGGACAAAGAACCAGCCCCGGAATCAAGAAGACCTCACTTCAAATTTGACCTCAGACACTTACTTGTTGTGTGACCCTAGGCAAATCACTTAATCTCTGTTTTTCTCAGTTTCCTCATCTGTAAAATGGAGAAAATCATAGCACCACTGTCCCAGAGTTGTGAGGATCAAATGAGGTAATAATTGTAAACACTTAGCATGATACCTGTTACAGTGTAAGCATTCTATAAATGTTAGCTATTATTATGATTATTGATTGTTATCCCTCTGTCTGTGACTTTAAGTGTAGGAAACCAATTAGACCCACATAAGCAGTCTTAATCCTTTTTGTCCTATGAAATATCTAACTAGTCCTAACCCTAAAATTACCCTTACCTTGCTGTTGCTTGTGCTACCTTTAATCAGTATACTCAAGAGACCCGGCAAAATTTGATGCAATGCCATGCCATGTTCTGAGAGCAAAAACTCCTAAGACTATCACAAAATCCTTTCTGCCACTATCTGAAATGTTAAGCCTGAAACCCCCTAGAGACACACCTGGTTATATCCTTTCCCAGTTCTGCTTTGGAGCTATCAGTTGGAGCCCCACTGTGAAGAACAATGTAATGCCCTAGTACCCTTGTTCTCACTGCCTCCTACTCCCTTAGGTATTTCTAAACTAAGTGATGCAGCCTTCCTTTTTAGGCCTTCACCTAAATTCACCAAATAAAAGAGCTTATTACTTTCACCACTGACTGGCTGATTATCTTTTTTTTTCTTTTGTGAAGGACTATTTGTCCCAGAAATAGACCTTGCCACTTGTCCAGTTTATATATAACATTGCTTTATGCAGCACCACAGACATTTGATAATTTTCAATGAAATTGTTATGGCTGTCATTCTTTAGTGTACAATATTTTTGATCTGATTTCTGATGCTTGTTAGGTTTGGAAACATGGAGGCACTATGGTATTATTTACCATCATGCAGTCAGTAAGGCCCAAGGGAGTTTAAGTATAAATAAACTTGGAGTGTCAACTTGAATTGTGTGATTTTAAAAAACGTCCCAACAAAAATTAAAGAAGACTCTATATTATGTTGTATAGCATAATTACAGAGGAACAAGTCGGGTCAGTTACATGCCATCAGAATCAGGATCCAAGAGTTCTCTTCCTATTTCCTGAAATGTACCCACCAGACCTCCACTCAAGCCAAATAAAACTGTGAGATAATCAAGGCCCAGTACTCCTCTACTAGATCATGTTATCATTTCTGCCTCTCTAATACTATCTGCCCTGCTCACCCAGTCTGGAGGGATAGCCAATGACCAAAACCTGATAGTCCCTGGCCTTTGCCCCCAAACACTAACATGTGGACACTGTAATTTAACTGGAGATTATGATTTCTCTACCACTCACTACTGCCAAGGATTAAACACTCTCCAATTCCCTCTCCTATTTGCCTATATCCATTCTGTTCTGTATTTCTTTTTTGAATTTTTAAAATCTGCTTTGAATTTTTATTTACTTTATTTTTAATTTATGGAATAAAACATGTATTTCCATAACATAGTGTAACAGAAAATATGATTGTACATGAAACTGCAAGTATGTTATGTACAAGTTGCTATTCCTTTAAAAATATAATAAAGTTATCATGTATATTTCCTTTTTTCCCTTCCCCTGCAACAGAGAGATGGTTTTGAGAGAATAAATCAATTTGACTATTATAAATACCCAAAGGAAGATGCTATCTGCATCCAGAGAAATAACTGATAAATTAGAAGTATAGAAGGATTTTACATATATATGTGTGTGTGTGTGTGTGTGTGTGTGTGTGTGTGTGTGTATACATACTTGTGTATAATGGTAGCCATCTCCATTCTTTTTAAGTCTAACCTACTCATGTCTCAATCCACGTTTGCCTACTGCTTCCATGATCAATCTGGAATCTCTGTTCAAAAATAATAATCTTCCCTTTATTCTGGACATCTCCCTGTCATACTCCTTCCACTAACTGTCACCAGAGACCTGGCTCCCCAACAAAACATGCAACCCTCGCCATATTCTCTAGCACTGGCTAAGCATTCTCTCACTCTCCTTGACACAAAGGTTCAGGAAAGGGAGTGAGGATATTCCTTTCTCACACTTCCACTTCCAGATCTTCCCTTTGCTGTCATCACTCAGCAATAATATTTCACCCTATACCCTATGGGTGTATAGGTGCCTCTGTCACTCAGTAATCACCCTCATCATGGTCCTCACATATTACCTGGAATGTGGCAGGCACTAATTTATGCTTGTCGATGGATGGATTTAAGTGTTCATAAAATTGTAACCATAAATCTACAAGTATTTCTTGAGCCATTGAGGTCCAGGAGGGAAGTGGGGACATACAAGAAAATACTCTAAGGAGCTTTAATAAGTACATACCTTGGGAATAGCCAGTTTCTCTTTTTCAGGGCTTTCTTCTGAGTCAGAACAGGTGTAATTTTCACTGAAGGAAATCAGAGGACTCACTCTTGGCTTGTGAATTGATTGGAAAGTCAGCTGTGTGCTAAGCAAATTGCTCACAGCCCTCAAGGAGGTACACACATTCGGTGGCAAAGAAGGATCTGCCAGGAGGTCTGTAATAAGGCCATGTGCTTCTCCCATCACAGCAATATCAACAGTAATACTTGTACCTGAGGACTGAAAAATAAACAAACAAACATAAAATCTTAGTAAGACTGTGCTTAACATCATAATTACACTTTATTGAATTTAATATTTTCACCTAAAAGTTATCAAAGCTATGACTTTACAGAAGTAAGAGTACATATATAGGTTACCTACTTTAAAAAAAAAGAAACAAAATTACACATTCTCAGGGTATGCCAAATTTATAATAATCTGCCAGATTACCTTTCAACCTCAGACTCATTTGCTTAGGTGCCATTAAGAACTAGGAAACATAAAATGGCACAAAATATTTCCCATACCTTGTCAGCACAAAATGAGAATCAAAAAGATAGGAGGTGGGGGAACTTTTTACTCCCAAATAGAGAGGAAGCTTGAAAACAGTAGATGTAAAATGAATTCCAAAGGAAAAAATATTGATACTTTCATATAATATAATCATCCAAATAATGCAAGGCTGAATTTTATTCAGATATTTAGGGTACAGATGGACCCTAGTACACATAAATTATTCTATAAATGCAAAAGTTACATTGAATAGTCATATCTATTATTATTAAAAGAAATACTAACCCATTTTAGAAGTTAATTCTGAATATAGTTCTAACTCAATACTAAATTTTGGAAAAATTGGGCATGGCATTTTTTGTTTTACTAGAGGTAAACCAAAGTGTGCTCCCTTTCATGATGTGAAAAAAGGAGCTGGCATTCATTTTTAGGTGTACTGATATTTAGATTTCCATTGTAAACTTATAATTTAAATTTTGAACCAAAATTAAGTTCTTTTTTTTTTTATTTTCTGGCCATACAACTACTATTGCTATATACACAACTGCATTATGTATTTCATTTTGATTACTCTGGATTTCAAAAAGTGTTAAGTATTTGTAACTAGATTTAATATTACTCCTTTTAGAAACAGTTACCATTATGTGCTTCTATAACAATTAGATACACTGCCAGGAAACTGGCCAAGAAGGCCCTGTTTTCTTTCAGTGCTCATTCTGTTCATTTGAAACAGTAATTTTGTTTATTCCTAGCTACTTTTTTTCCTCCCCAAATTGGAAAAACAAAGGATCAGAAAAACTGAAGACAACTTGTATGAAATTTTGAAAATTTAAGCTAAACATATTTTAGTTGACATAAATACTTCAAAAATTTTAACTATTAAAATAATTCTATTCTGATGCTTTTTTATTGCTACAATATACAAAGGTGTAAATATAACTATGTTATATATGCATGTGCATACATGTGTGTGTGTATAGCACCTATACATACACACATACATATAGTGCAGATGAACACGAGTAGCAAATAAATTATTCTATAAAGGTAAAAGCCACATTAAGTACCTATGCCTATTATTATTAAAGGAAATAATATTTCATATATATGTACATACATATGTGTATAGGACACACATATAATGTGGATGTTGGCATTTATCCCCCAAATTTTCCCAGGAAGTTAATCAGTGCTAGTGAAATACAAAGAATACTGGATTGGAGTTTAGAGGTCTTTGTACAAATCCTGGCTCTGTAACTTATCCCATGTGTGACCCTGGAAAAATCACTTAAATATAAAATTTTGAAACTGATTATCTCAAAGTTTCCTGTTAACTCTTAATCCTATGACCCTAAATCTACAAAAAAGTTCCCCTTCAGTTCAACACTAGAATTATAAATTTGCAAACCATTATTTCCAAAATAAAACTTAAAAATAAATACCAAGTGAAAATACAATTCATGGGTCACTGTGTATAACATTTCAGTCTACATATCTCCAAAGGGTTTCTTTCTGTTGATTTTTTGGAACTGTAGTCTTCAGGTGAAGATAAAAGCAAGAGTCAAATCAAAAAAGTTTGTTACTCAAGTTAGGAATTACTGAAAAGATCAAAGCTGAAATGTTTTCACTGAGTGAAAAAAAAATTAAAACAAAAACTAAAACCAAGCTATTCAATGTTTTAATGCCTTTTTGTAGTCAGGACTTTTTTTTTCCATTTTATAATGTTTAACTATACAATTTTATTAAAATCAAAAGTTGCATCACACTAGGGAAGAACTTCACAACTTTCAGATCCAAACTAAGCCAAAAATGTCAATAAGTTATGAAATCTGAGGCCCAACAACTCTAGGCTTTTTGCCAAGTATAGGATTTATCATAATTTAAATGCCTGAGAGCTGGAAGATGGTTTTAGCTACTGTCTATAACCAACATTCAAAATGGTAGTGCAGCTCAGAGGAACAGAACAAAAAAAAAAAGGAAGAAAAAAAAGAAAAGAAAAAACAGTGACAATACGTGATTTTTAAAAAATCCAGTAGTGTCAAGTAACCTAGAAAAGAATTCATTACTGGACTTAACAGCATTTTTTTTATTAAACTTTGAGATTTTGTTTTTTTTTTCCACAAAAGAACAGAATAGACTTAATTCAGTATATGTGAATATATATATATGGGGGTCATATATGTACACATATATATACATGTGTGTATTTCATGTATATGAATATTCATGTATTTATCATTTGTATGAATATATTTATGTATATATACACAGAGTTGTATGCAAAATAAAATTAATTTTATTTACTTGTCATCTTAAAATTGACACAAGAGATATTATTATTTAAAGCTACAGTTCTTGAAATGTGTGTCATGGCTCCAACTGAGATATTTTGACACGCAATTTTGGATATTATGGTATTACAGATAAAAGAAAATTTATAATTATGCTGTTTAACATAAATTTACTTCATCAGCATAGGGTAAGTGAATTTTATATTCACAAAATAAACAAAACTTGCCTATTGCACAAACAAGCTAACCTCCAAATAAGGTAGATCTTGAAGTTGCAAAGAATCCAAGAAAATGGCTACTCTTATTGAAGTAAAACTGAACCCCTGGGAGGGTTCCTGACACTCTTGCAGTGTGGCCAACTGAAATGTTCAGTGTGCTATGCTTCTTCATGACCAAAGAGAGTAGGATGTATGAGCAAAAACAAATTGAGAACTGCTGGTGTAGGGGATAGAGGGTGTCCTTAAGTTCAGGACATGCTGATTCCAAGCCTCAATTCTACCACATGCTAGCTGGCTTATTCTTGGCAAAGGATGCAGAACTGACTGATGCCTATTTGTATTACTAGGGTAAGTCCTCACTAGGTAATCCCTACCTTGATGAAGTCATAGATTCAGAAAAAAAATGTAATTAAAATTTTAGTTATATTACATGTCAGATAAAATTTTCATTTAATTAATGAAACTTTAGATGGTAGCTTGAAGTATTCAATAAGTCGGGGCTACAGGAAGATAAAATTTGAAAATGGAAGCTAACTTCTAAATAATGGACCTACACTCGAAGTCTATTAAAGTACATTTTGTAAGAAGTAGGACTATACTAAACAAAATACCAGAATTGTCTTTTTATGGTTTACAGGATCAAACACTCTCTATAAAAAGGTAATATGACCATGCACTATAAACATTACAGGCTCTTCAGATAATAGAAACATTTATGTTTTACTTTTAAGAGAATGTAAATATGATTTCCTAGATACTATTTAAGGAGACAACCAAATACAGATTGCCACCTTAAAATAGAAAATCTGGAATTCAAATCTGAATGAGTATGTAGGAAAATAAAGTCTTATGCCAAATAAGAAATAGGTGAGGAGCATTATGATGCAGTTTTGAAAAGAATGCTGGAGTCAGAAGACCTCATCTGGTAACCTTGTTCAGCTGCTTATTTCTTGTGTGACCTTAAATAAATCACTTCCCCTCTGATCCTCAGTTTCCTCAACTAAAAATAGGGTAAATCTTGAAGTCACAAAGAACCCAAGAATATGGCTACTCTTACTGAGGTAAAACTGAACACCCTCAATAAAAGTAACTGAAATTTGTGATATTTCAAAATTTATGAGAATTGTGTACACATTATCTCATTTGAATATCACAACATCCCTGCGATGTAGGAACTGCAGTTACTAGTATCTCTGTTTTATAGATGAGAAAATTGAAGCTCAAACATGTTAAATGACTTGCCCATGGTCATAAAGCTAGAAAGTATCAAAAGTGGGATATGGACCCAGGTCTTCCAGACTCTAAGTTCAGTCCTCTCTCCACCCTGATATATAGCTTCTATTTTAATAATAATACTTCACATTTGTCTGATATTTTAAGAGTTTAGAATATACTTTAAAATCTCATTTAATCTCTACCACAGTTCTATAATAGCAGTAAGTAGAATAAGTTGTATTATTTTCATTTTGCAGCTGAGGAAACAGCCCTCTAGAGTAAAAAATCCTGAATTTAATCCCCTTTCATATGACAGCCCTTCAAATTCTTGGAACAGCTATAATGTGCCCTCCTCACCCCTTCTACCTATTCCCAGTTTTCTCTTCTACATGCTAAAAACACCTAGTTCTTTCAAGTGATTATTGTAACACATAGATTTAAAACAGCATAACCCTTCACGATCCTGGTTGATCATCTCTGGATAATCTCCAGCATATCAATGTAACTCTTAAAACTTCATGAACAATATATGATACGCTAGATCAGGTTTGATGAGGGCTGAGTACAGTACAATACTCACCTTTCTGTTTCTGGAAGCCATAATGTTCTCAAAGGAGTTTTTCAGTTGACATATCATATTCCTCACTCATATTCAACCTGTCATCCACTAAAATCCCTAGATTTTGTTTTTGTCAGAATGATTGCTATCTGTAGGGAAACTGGGCATGGAGTTAGGTGGCACAGTGTATAAATTGTCAGGCCTTAAGTCAGAAAGACTCCTCTTTGTGAGTTCAAATCTGGCCTCAGACACTTACTAGCTCTGCAACCCTGGGCAAGTCATTTAACCCTCAGTTTCCTAATTCATAAAATTAGCTGGAGAAGGAAATAGCAAACCACTCCAGTATCTTTACCAAGAAAACCCTAAATGGGGGTAACAAGGAATTGGACATGTCTGAAATGACTATAACAACAATGGGTTTGGAATTAGGAAGACCTGGGT